TCGTCAGCATGCTAAACAGTGAAATAAAAATAAATAATTTCAATAAATTTAAAAAGAATATAAAAACTGAAATAACTCATCTTTAGCCAGGCAAGACGCAACGGCCTCTGTTAACTCTTTCCATCGCTTGCTTTGGCTGTCATATGGTGTGGAAATGAGCAAGCGCGTCGGCAAGTTTTGTTTGAGTGGCAGTCGGTTTCTTAACAGAGGTTTTCAAAGTCGAGGCTTCTGCTGCATCGCAGCGCATCTTCTGACTAGCATCATATTCCGGTTTGTGTTTTAGGTGGTGAAATAAATTGGTAGTGTTGCTGTCCTTTGTCATCACAGGTTGTCTGCAATCTTTGCATATTACGACTTTCTGCTCCGTATCAGACTTTTTAAATCCAAACCAGTTCCAGATAAAGGAGCTGGAGCCTCTTTTAGGAACCAGGTCTTGGGGCACGTCTCCTCCACCTTCCGCCATGCTTGTTGGACTGCAGGTGTGTCACGCGCAGTACACGTCAATGACGGGAGTTTATCGTTTTTATCGCGAGATGACAAATTGTTACCATGAGGAATTTCTTTGACGATATATCGCACACGATAACATATCGCCCATTCCTATTAGCCCGTAGCACATTGTTTCCAAGTCTGCACATGATGAATAATTGTAGGCTCCAAAATAGGGCTACAACTAACCACTATTTTGCAACTCCATTAATCTGTCAATAATTTTTTCGATTGATTAATAATCAGATAGCCAAAGATTCCCTTAAAGAATATTTTTTATGAATATAAACTAGGTTAAACTAAAACTTTTCCATTTGAGGAATTCTGGATAGAGCAGATGACACAGGTTCCTCTGTCAGCTAAAGGTGTGTTTTACAGTCTCTATACTCAAGTTAACGATTAATCTATTACTAAATTAGTTGACGATTGTTTCAATAATCGATGAACCACAATTGTTTCAGCCTAGGGGTGGGCAATATATTGAATATATTCAATGTATCTCCAGTTTTCCCACGTACAATAGTTAAAATGACTCTTTCGCAGCCAAAGAGTAAAAATTTGCATGGCGACATTAAGACGTCTGCATCTATTTCACTGAGTTTTATTTTTCCCACACAAACACACACACACAAGTATCATAAACCCCTCCTCCAAACAGGATTATTTTCTGCATGGCACGAACACTACAGCAACCGGTAAACGAAATATGGCGACAGCAGGTTTTTCAGCTGAGCTCAGCAATATACGGCAGTGGTTTGAATTTTACGCCAAGGACGCTGAACAAAAGGCGCTAATTTGTAAATCAAAAAACCATTGCTGCAAAAGGTAGCAATACTAATTTATTCCAGTACCTAAAAAGTAATTCGCTGCAAAATGAGGACTGTAGTAAACCCTGAATGTCAGCATCTCCCCTCTCACCAATTATAATGTTCAATAAATGGAGTTGGCCTCGTCGTTTGAAAAAGCGATCTCATATGAGAGAAACAGGAAGAGATGGAGGGAAATCAGACACTATTTATTACGTTACTCAAATGTTTTTTAGATGCTCTAATAGATGTAATGTTCAGAGGTTTTGCTGTTCTCTAAACTTTGCAAAGTTCTCAACCTTTTTGTGCTTCTTTAAAATCCCCACCACATAAAGATCAGTGCTAATAGTTTGGAGACGCTCTGATAATGCTGTAATTTTTGGACAGCATTTCCACTTTTGATTTTGTTATTTTAGGTCAATTTCTTTTTTCATTATGCACAAAAGAGCCCTTTTTTAATTAAAAAAG